GGCATCAGACATATGGGATCACCACCACCTCCAAGTCACTCACCATCTTGACTTGGAAATATATTGCCATTCCCTCACTGTCGCTAGGGCAAAATCCTGGAATTCCCTCACTGTCGCTGGGCCAAAATCCTGGAATTCCCTCCCTAATAGCATTGTGGGTCAACCCACAGCAGGAAGACTGCAGCAGTTCAAGAAGGCAGCTCACCACCACTTTCTCAAGGGCAACTAGGGATGGGCAAGAAATGTTGGCTAGCCAGTGACGCCCACATCCCACAAACGAATAGAGAAAAAAAAACTGAAACAACATCTCATTTTCCACTTGGGGACCCTGCAGCCCTCCGGACTCAATAGCAAGTTCAATAACTTTAGGGCCTAAACTCTCCCATATCCCAGCCCCCTACCCCACACACCAGGCCTTGTTATCACATAGCCTGCCATTACACACTACCTGTTATTAGTCACTAATAGTTCCCATTAACAACTATTCACCCTCCCAGCCTGATCGTTAGCAACTCCTTGTCTGTATAACTGTTCTTCACTCTCTTGAGGCTCGATCCTTTCGTTTACTCCCTACCCCATCCCTCTCCCCTTTCTTCTGCATGTAAACTGACGTTTCCCAGCTATCATCAGTTCTGAGGAGGGGCCACTGGACCCAAAACGTTAACTCTGTTTTTTCCTTCACAGATACTGCCAGACCTTCTGAGCTTTTCCAGCAACTTCTGTTTTTGTTCCTGATTTACGGTATCCGCAGTTCTTTCGGTTTTTTTTCTTCCTCAATTATCGATGATCTATATTGATGGCTTAGATTTAGGGACTGATTGTATTGCTTGAAAAGTTGTCAATAATACAAAGATAGGCAGGAAAAGAACTTGTGAGCAGGTTGAAAAGAGTCTGTTAAGATCATGTGAGTGGACAAAACAATATAATGTGGGAAAAATATGAGGTTCAACTTTGGCAAAAAGAATAGAAAAACAGAATACTATTTAGATGGAAAGAGATTGCAGATTGCTGTCCCAAATATCAGCATACAGGTACAGCAAGTTCTATTGGCCTTTATTGAATAAGCGCATGGTTGTAAAAGTGGAAAATTCTTGCCACAGGTGTATATAAAAAAAAGTAACTTTGCTATTGTCCTACCATAGAATAGGGCTGCTCTCTCATTCATGAGAGACAACTGGTGATGTTTTAACAACAAAAACAGAAGTTGCTGGAAAAGCTCAGCAGGTCTGGCAGCATCTGTGAAGAAAAATTCAGAGTTAACGTTTCGGGTCCAGTGACCCTTCCTCAGAACTGATAGTAGCTGGGAAAACTTCAGTTTATATGCAGAAAATAGGGAGAGGAATGGTGTAGGGAGTAAACAATAGGAGAGAGCCTGAAAAGAGAGAACAGCAGTTGGATAGACAAAGGAGTTGATAAGATCTGGCTAGGAGAGTGAATAGCTGTTAATGGGGTTTGTTAGTGTCTGACAAGAGGTGGTGTGTAATGGCAGGCTACGTGGTAACAAGGTCTGGCGTGTGGGGTAAGGGGCTGGGACATGAAAGAGTGCAGGCCCTAAAATTATTGAACTCGATATTGAGTCTAAAGGGTTGCAGGGTCCCCAAGTGGAAAATGAGGTGTTGTTCTTCCAGCTTGGGTTGAGCTTTGCTAGAACACTGCAGCAAGCCAGAGACAGCGATCTTGGCCAGGGAACAGAGTGGCATGTTAAAGTGGCAGGCAACGTGTAGCTCATGGTCTTTTTTGCAAGCAGGAATGTTCTGCAAAGCGGTCACACAGTCTACACTTTCTTTCCCCAATGTAGGGAGACCACATTGTGAGCAGCGAATGCACTAGACTAGATTCTGGGAAGTGCAGGTGAAGTGTTGCTTCTCCTTGAAGGTATGTTTGGGTGCTTGGATAGTGGTGAGGGAGGAGGTAAATGCGCAGGTGTTGCACCTTTGCTGGTTGCAGGGGAAGATACTGTGGGGCTGTTGGGGGGTGTGATGGGGGGTGTGGTGGTGTTGCGTGTTTAGGAAGAGTGGACTAGGGTGTCCCAGAGGGAACAGTCCCTGCAGAAGACGGACAAGGGCGGGGAGGGGAATATGTGCCTGGTTGTGGCATTTTGCTGGAGGTGGCAGAAATGGGTCTGATGATCTTCTGAATGTGGATGCTGGTGGGATGGTAGGTAAGGACAAGGGAACTCTATCACTGTTGCGGGAAGGAAGAGAAGGGGTGAGGGCAGAAGTGCGGGAGCTGGGTCGGACCCGGTTGAGGGCCCTGTCAACAATGTGCTGGAAAATCCTCGGTTGAGGAAGAAGGTGGACATTTTGGAGGCTCCCTTGTCGAAGTTGGCCTCATGTGAACATATGCGACAGAGACAGAGGAACTGAGAGAATGGGACGGAGTCTTTGTGGGAAGTAGGTTGCGAGGATGTATGGTCCAGGTAGCTGTGGGAGTCACTGGGCTTTATAGCTATAACTCATCTCTTCCTACCTTGACTCAGTCTTCTCTTCCCGGTCCAATCCCTGCCCATGCACATCTGTAATTCCTCTGACACTTTACACCAGTTTCAAAGCTTCCAGTTTGCAGGTTTCAGCTGCCTCCTCTTTACCATGGATGTGCAATCCCTTTACACGTCCATTCCCCACCAGGAGGGTCTTAGGGCTCTCTGCATCTGTTCCACTTGAACACCGTCCTGTTCCTTGGCCAACATCTCTGTCTCTGACTTCCTGCAGTGTTCCAATGGAGTTCATTGCAAGCTGGAAGAACAACACCTCATTTTCCGCTTGAGGACCCTGCAGCCCCCCGGACGCAATATCGAGTTCAATAATTGTAGGGCCTAACTCTCCCATGTCGTAGCCCCTTACCCCACACACCAGACCTTGTTCTCAAAGAGCCTGCCATTACACACCACCTCTTGTTAGTCACTAACAGTCCCCATTAACAGCTATTCACCCTCCTAGCCAGATCATTATCAACTCCTTTGTCTATCCCCCTGCTGTTCTCTCTCTTCAGGCCTTATCCTTTATCCTATTGTTTACTCCCCACCCCATCACCCTCCCTACTTTCTACATATAAATCGACGTTTTCCCAGCTACCATCAGTTCTGGGGAAGAATCACCGGACCCGAAACATTAACTCTGATTTTTAACCTGCAGACGCTGTCAGACCTGCCGAGCTTTTCCAGCAACTTCTGTTTTTGTTCATAATTTACAGCATCTGCAGTTCTTTCAGTTTTTATTTGGTGATGCTTTAACCTGAGAGTCACCATGCCTCAGGCAAAAGGGAGAGGTTGAGAAAGAGAGTCCTTGATGGTAACCTTTGAGGGCCTTTAATCCACAATGTTGACATCACAAACCAGCCATCCAGCCCACAGAGCTAACTGACAAGCGTATAGTGTTTTTTCGAGACATTTAGTCCTGTTTACAATTTTGACCTCCTTATTTAAGAAAGCGGGATATACTTGTATTAAAGCAAAATATTGCAGATGCTGGAAATTTGAACCAAAAATTCAAAATACCAGAGAAACTGAGCAGGTCTGGCAGCTTTTGTACACAGCGAAAAAGGGTTAACGTTTCAGGTTCAACATGATTCCAGCTTCTGAAGAAGTCATTACAGACTCAAAACATTAATTCTGCTTCTCTTTCCACAGGTGCTGCTGGACCTGCTGAGTTTCTCCAGCACTTTCTGTTCATAGTTACAAAATTGCTCTTCTCTGGAACCCAAAGATATAGTTACATTGGAAGCAGTTCAATGAAGGTTCATTGGACTGATTCTTCTTATGAGGAAAAGTTGAACACATTGGGCATATATTCATTGACATTGAGAAGACAGAAAGGTGTTATTATCGAAACATATAACACTTTGACAGGTTGCACACCGAGACGATGTTTATTTCTTTTGGGGGAGACTAGAACTGCAGGGCACAGTTTAAAAGCAAGAGGTCTCCCATTTAAGGCAGAGATGAGGAATTTCTTCTTTCAGAGAGTTACTATTCATGGAATTCAGACAGCAGTGGATACTAGCTCACACCTGCTGGACAGAGTTTTGGTTGACACAGGAATCAAGTGTTACATGTCAGAAAAGAATGTGGAGTTATGGCGACAGTTGGATCAGATGATCTTCTTGAACAATCAATTTCTATTTGTTAGGGTGTTTTGGCTCACAACCTATTTAAGTCAATGATAACACAATGTGGAGCTGGAGGAACACAGCAG